CTTTCCCTGGGAACGTCAAGTGGATGGTAAGAGTTAATACTCATGGGTACAAGTTCCTTTCAAGGAGGAAGAGCACGATTGTGGAGAAAAGATTCAGTCCACATGGGTGTAATTATTTGGGAGTATTTCACCCACCTTTTCACTTTTTTCTGACTGTACTTGCAATTCTAGACCAAATCATCCCTCAGTTATACGTTCAACTATGGTGGTACATGATGACTTGAGTTACAGTACCACACCCAAGTAAAAACATAAGTTTTAGACACTATTTTAGTGCTGATATGCAAAACAAATTTATCCTCTGTTTTTAAAGAGAATGAACAACTCAACTATGATCATGGGCATTCATTTTATGATATTTTATTTGGTGAGGCAACAACACTACCTAACTCTATTTCAACGGGTAGCCAAAAGATGCAATGTGCGTATAATACTAAAGTTACCAATAATAAATGTTAGATGAAACGCGAAACTGCACTGAACACATCAATAAATTGAGCATCACCCATAGTCGCTATCAGTTGGGTGTAATTATTACAAGAGATCATCCTATAATGGCCTTCTTAGCTAACCCAAAAAGGAGGAGCAACCTAAGAGCTTTTCTCCCCAATACACCAAATGCAAACACTAGCCACATGGGAAAATCTAAAAAAATTCAAAGGAAAAGGAACTCGTCTCACTCTCATACAGAGGAAGAGCCTGTGGCGTACGATTTGCATTTACATGATTGTTTCTGTATGGTGACAGCCAGCACAGCAACACGAGTTTGACATGTGCTTAGGTACTCGTGGGAGGCTGTCCTAACTTATAAGAGCCCTTACCTACCTCTTTGGCTGTCCTCCACATGTGTCTTCCTTCCTGGACTTGAACTTTTTCTGCTGTCTATACTCTATATAGTGGATAAGATTTAAAAAAGTCATTAATTAAGATTCAATAATAACCTTGCTCGCAAAGGAGAAAACTTATTGTAAAAGTACTGGCAGACACCAACCGCAAATTCCGATAAATCTCAATCCCAGTCTCACGTTGTTGTATAGCTCTTCCTTTCACTGCTTTTCATTTCATTCCTATTTAAATTGGACAGTGTCCTCCAACTAATGGATTTTGAATTGATAGACGAGGTAAGAGAGTCGAGAGAGGAGAGGACGGGGGAGATCATTTGAATTTGATTGCCAATTGCTACACACCTCTTGCGGTTTTTCATCGGAATAACATAAAAAATAGACCTCAACCCCCCAATTGATCATATAGACTATGATAACTTCTTTATATTCAACACGTGCTTCAATGCTCTAATGTTAAAAATATTGTTTTCCTGTATTGTTCAATATACGCGCTCGTATGTACGTGCACCAAAAGTGATGTACAATTATTAATGATCCAAAGTTCAAGACTTCCGTGTTAACCCTTAAACGAGAATTCTCTCCGCTGGTAAAGCTAAAATAACTCTGATTTTCATAATTCTCTCGGCCAGTGCAGTCCGAATTTTCATAATTTGATTTCCTCGCACGTAACATAGACGACAAATTAGTCTCTGATCATGCCTAACCCAATAACGTTTCAGAGAACAAGTAACAGGGAACATTGAAATTTGTACTCACATATTATGAAGTTGCTCTCAAATTGAGTATTCAGGAGTATTTTAGTCTATTTATATAAAGTCAGAATGGCTGTATCATTATTCTTATTGGTACTAAGAAAACAGAAACTGAAGCTGCAAAAATGAACCCTATTTTGCACATTATGGGTCACAGTTACGGTTACGCAAACGTAACATCCAAGAGGGATAAATAAATCCAAGTCTACTTCCCTCTTTTGCGAACTTCATACAAGTAACTGAGGATCACCACTGCGGCAGTAACTACAACTCCCACTGCACCTTGTGCCAGAATGGTCCCATCTTTAACACAAGTCGCCCTTGAACTTGGCACAAAGCCTAGCTCAGAAAGTTTCTTATGTGATTCAGCATAATCTCGAAAAAATGCATCCTCGTCCTGCGAGAGTGACAGTGTTTACAAAAATGAGACTGCAGACAGATTCAAGCAATTCAATGATGCATTAACAGCAGTCAGAACGTTGTTGCAAATAGCAATGCTCTTAATTTTCTTTAATGGGTTTAGACTTTAGAGCAAAAGCATTAGATAAGTTAGTCTACAACTCTACATACAATATAGGTAAGTGCAAACAAGCATGTTATTTAGCTTAATGTAAACATTAGTTTCATAGTCTAAAGAAGGAAACAAGACCAATTTATGGCCAATTGTTGCCGAAGTAGTTTTATTTATACATGACCACCAATGGAGAAAAAGTCTATCACGTATTGAATTAAATTAATTTGTTGGTTTTTCCAGCCAACTAACACAAGGGGGAAAATACCATTTTAAAGTGTCAAGCTAGCACAGTAACCTCCAAAGCACATCGCTTACGGGGAAGAAGGATCCTACTAATCAACTGCTACTTAATGCAACAGCTCAGGCCAAAAGATTGATCAAATAAGTAATGCAATAAACTTATAAGCCTCATGGTATTTATAGTATACAAATAGACCCATGAAACGCTATTGAGCAACATTAATTGGTAATTTGGACATCGCACCAAACAAATTTCAAATGGTGGTTATTAGAGTTGAACAATCTCATTTCAATTACCTTCGCATATAGCTCAACAAAACGGCGAAAGTTAGGATCCTCCAATAAAGCCTTGTCTGTTGGAAGTTTAAGCAGCATAGCATAATCTTCTTTTAAAAGTTCCCTGATGTTAACAATGAAATTTAGTTGTAGATAAAAATCAAACTCTCCACATTGCGAGCAGAAATGAGAAGTTCTACAACATGTATTCGTAAAACAGCAAAAATGGTATTGCAAACAACACGTGTCTTACACAAAGTACGAGTTATCAAACTTCAAAGGATCCTCTGTCCAAGGGCCTTCAAATCCTGATCTCTCTGGATGTGCTCTCCCCTATAAGACCGCAGAAAATGAGAATATCTAGCCATAATCACAAGAAGTAATAAAAAGATATACACAAAAGGAGAGTTACCAGCGTATGTCCTCCAGACAGTGCAACAATATCTTGGTCATTCAAGCCCATTCGATAAAAGATATCACGGAGATGTGGAACACCTACCAACAGCATTGACATATATTATGCTTTCATATGTTCTTAGCCTCGTTCATTGTGAAGGGAATAAAAAAAAAAATAGAACATCTTTCACAACCCAGGTGAAGAGTAGTTTTACCACTGACAAATTTAATCACACACCTTGTTTGGCATCAGGAAGCCGACCTTCTTTGGGAGATATTTTTGAATCCTACAGGAACAAAATATTATATGAACAAAACAAAATTCGGTGATTTCTACAATTAATATTCTGACAGAAGGTATGACACAACATACCCTTCTACCAGGAACAAAATCAATTGTGGGACCCCCGGTAACCTCAACTGCAACAACACCCGCAAGCTGGAAGTACAAAGAGAAAGAAATGAATAGCTAATCAGATTTATATAATCTATATGGCAGTTAATTTAATTCTCTAGTTATGAATCAGATATTGTTTTATACAAGGTAAGCTCTACATGAGTGATAATCTCCTCCTCTCTGTTTGAACTTTGAACAGAATCTGGACTCGTGCACTCGCTGGATTTAATCGGCTTGTATGCGATATACGCAAAAAAACCAGTAAATGCTCCACTAATCTTAAGGGGAATTTTATTTTTCAGAATATCAAATTGCCGACATTTGCTAACCTTTAACATTAGTACATTAGCGTACAGGAAAATCAAATGGTGTTCCAGTTCATTGTAGAAATCTTATATAGTGAAGAGATGAGATTTTATAAACTTTTCTTGTTAATTTCAATTTTTGGGAGGAGAGGAGAGTAAAATCCTTCACCATCTAATTTTAGTTCGAGAAAATTTAAAATATTTTTAGTAAAATATCTAAAATATTCTTAGTTTAGTTTTTTAAATTCAAAATTATAAAAGTACAAAAATAAATTAATTTTTAAAATGTCTTTCTTTTGAACGAAACAAGAAAAGAGTTTCCTCCCCTCCATTAAAACTCATCTCTTCCCCTCTTCTTAACCAAACACGGAATTTTTAACCACATCCTTCCTCTTCTCTCCATTAAAATCTTTCCCTTCCTCTCCATTAAAACCCCTCCCCTCCTTTGAACCAAATAAAACCTAGGTTATTTACATGCATGTCAAAAACTACATACAAAAGAATTGGACCACAATCAGGTAAATGCTTAAGCTATTAAAACTTGAAACTCATTCCATTAACTAACACAGGAGCTTCAGCTTCAATTGTACTGCTTTACATTTTTTAACTACCAACCACTAGGTGTATTATTGCACTTGCTCCAAAATTTATATAGCTACCCAGAATTCTTGTTATAGGGAATTTTCCCCCTCCCTTTTTATCTGGGAAAGATTTGTGGGAAGTATGAAACACAGAAACAGGTAACGAGTGTCGTTTAAATAATTAAGGCAGGACGGAAATTTGTTTAAGGGAAATACAAATGCGCATGCTCTCAAATTTCATAAAGTAACTAACTAAACTATAGTTCACAAAATGGAAGTCTACAATAGTACAATGGTTCATCACAGCATAATTCCTTGACAACTTTCCAAAACTCTGGAACCTCATAAGGTACAAGACTAAGAAAAGCAAGCCTGTTTCCAATTAAATAGAACAAGCAAACCTTGTTGTCTTTGGAAAGAAAATGGTCCTTCTATTTCATGTTATTTGACGTTTAAACAAAAAACAAATGTTCCATTTTGATTGTCATATCAATGAAGCATTGAACATATTATATCCTTAATTATTTATTGTGTAAGCAGAAGATATAAAATTAGTATATATGAGAGAAAATCTCATGAACATAAACATAAAGGGTATATTAAAAAATTGCATAATAACTTTTATGAAATCTAAAATATTAATTACATCTCTTAATACTTGTGTAGAAATCTTAAACGTCAAACAAAGTAGAATGAAAAAAGTAATAGAGCAAAAAAATGAAGATAACTTATCATCGTTAAAGAAAAAAAAATTGAATAAAACATCCCAAATAAGCCGACTAACTGGGCAAAGCTTGTCAATCTATTTGCAACCGCGGTCTTTAGTTTTAAATTGTGGTTGTGGGTGCAGACGTGATTGTTTGCACGAGGACTTTGATATCCATCACAGTCAGAGGCTATGCAGCTGTTAATCAGAACACATATCACGGCCGCATTAGAGTTGTCAAACATTATGGCTATGAGAGGGTGAGTCTTAAGAGTAACAAAGCACTACATCACTAGTCCAAAGCAGGTATAAGAGGACGAGTTTCAAGTGTAACAAGGCACTAAATCACTAGGCATGTTAAGTCTGCAACTTTTAATATTCATTCGTCCTCTTCATACTGAAATTCAATCATGATCAATTAACAAAAAAGAAAAAGAGTCATAAACTAACCCCACCTAACACTACGGAAAAACCAAAGCCTAGCAGCATCCATGACTCTGAATAAAAAACGGTGTACAAAAAGAGTAATTTTAATTGAACGTGGCAGAAAACGGAACCCTGAATCAATTATCATGCACATCCCAGGCAAATTTAGAAGTCCATTAACCCCATTCTACGATTTTCAGTTTTCACCTAACAAATTTAATACAAAATTATCAGATTCAATAGACTTTCACAACAACTGAATTAAGACAAATGATCACCTGGTAGAGGTCTGCATATGTAATCTTAGGATGCTTTGCCTTCACTTCCTCTGTGACACCAGAAAATAAGACCACTCTTAGAAAAACATGGAGATCGACATAGTTCCAACCAATGATACTACTTTGACTAAACAATCAAGTTGGTCCTTGAAGTATCACCTCTCTTAAATATTAAATGGTCTTTAAAATGTACCGAAAACTCATCAAATTAGTCCCAATTATATTTTTCTAATCACTCATGTTGAGAGGAACTAATTAGAAGGACTTTTCAATGTTTTGAGGAATATGTAGCATATTTTCTAATATTTTAGTGACTGCATATATAATTTGGTTACTCTAAGGACTAATTAGGAAAGAGAGTAATACTTTAAAAACTAAATTGATGGTTTATTCAGTTACTTCTGTTAAAAACATTCTAAGCGAGTTAAATTAAAATAGGTCCGATTTAGCACAAGGCACGACTAAGAGTCCACGACAATATGCAAATCAAACTCAAACCTATACGTCCTGCTGTTAATTCAATACTCAAATAACACAAAGTATATGCAAATAAACAAGCATGGAGCACTACAAAATATTCGATAGCAAAATGAAATTGAGTATTGAATAATAATTGTAGGAAATGATAAAAGCGAAGGAATCAAGAAAAGTAATACCGCAGAAATCAATAGCCTTCTTCAAGCCACTGTTGGCGCCGTGAGAATACTCTTCCTCGTTCCGGATCGAACCGTTAGGTCCACCGGTCTTAGTCTTGGCATCGTAAGTGCCGGCATCGTGCCAGCTGCAATTCAAACACGGAAAGGTGAAATAAAATTGCACGATCGTAGCGTTGACCGTGTACGAGCGAAAACTAAGAAATAGAAGTCGAGAAAACTCGAAATCGGAGTAATATTAAGATGAATTGTTTGGTTGAAGAAAAAGTAAAAGAGAGAAGAAGATACGCTAGTCGAAGCATGAGAGGAGCGCAGTTTCTGTTGGCGATGAGTGCGCGGAGATCGCGGCGAGCCTTGTCGACCTCCTTGAGGTACTCTGCGTCGACGACCACCGGCAAGGCCATTCTCAACGGAATAACGGATTCTGTTGCGATTGGCGGAAAGGGAAAACGAAGCAACAAACCTCACTACACTGCTGAGTGCTAACTGTGTGCGCATGAAATTGATAATTCTATTTAATGGGTGGTGCAGTGTTCCCAATCGCATCGCATATTCCCGTGCCTTTACACTTCTCTCTTGCCACGTCACCTTACTTCATTGGCTCACGCCTTTCACCACAATTCATAATCAATCACCTAAAATCAAATAAAAAAAGTACCAAGGGACAAAATTCTTAACATAATAGATGTAACAACTTGGGCACAACATTTACAACAACAACAAAAAAATTATTGAAAGTTAAACATATATCATTTAGGCGAAATATATAGAAATATGGATTACCTAAAGAAAAATTAACCATAAGTTTTATACAATTTAAATTCAAAAACTACAAGTAAGGTTAGAGTCTCAATCAAAGTCTAAAAAATATATATTTGGAGGGATTAATAAAAATATATTGTTTCCAACAACTCAATAAAGTTCTAAGTAATATATATAATCTTGTTCTACTTGCATACTAAATATGGTAATGGCAATTCCAACCACAAGGAAAAAAAAAGTAAGCTTTCATAAGAAAACACATATAAATACCATCAATAGGTAATTAACATACAACTTAAGAGTATAATTCAAAATTTAACTATTAAACAATTTTCAACAATAACAACTTAGCAATGTGTCCAACATTCAATATAGCAATACAATTCTCTTAATCAACTAAAATTACTAAACAACTTAACAACTAAATCAACATTAAACCCAAGTTTTAACAACTAATACAACTTACAACATGTATGACAATCTCAACGTAACAACTTTAAGTAACCAATGTATTGTCATGCATATCAACTTATGAATTTTTTTACAATATAGGATAAGCAATTTAAGTGGTTTAATCATATAAAATCACTAAGTGGTATAATACTGGAAAATAACAGCTAACATTAAGGTCAAAAATAACGATTAACACGGGACTAAAACAACAACTAGCATAAGTTAGATTGATTTATCATATTTCATCACTTAAACTATAAAGTATGGTACTATGTAAAGGTAAAATAATTTAAGTATGGGCCTACAACGATATTAGTTTGCAACATTAAGTCACTTATAGGATTGATCCACAGACTATTCTCCAAATATCACAACCCTCCAATACTAAGTTGAGGACTAATTCCTCGACTTGATACTTTACGTCAGTTAATCATTCAACTAAGGTATGATTCGACTACTCACCAAAACTACATATACCTTAGAGGGAAACAACTTTTAAAACAACCTAATTCACCTCTAGCATTTATGTATTTCAACTTAGACATATATCTCAATCACATGTCCATAACTTTACCACTTTATATAACACACAACTTTCAACTTTCATCAAATTATTAATTAACAATACACAATTCAACATCAATAGTACTCATTATTAATTATTACCATTTAACAGTGTTTAAATATTAGCAATTCATTATATTTTAACATTTAATATATCAACACATCATATATTACCATTTGTTATAAGTGAAGTAACATATAACATTTTCAATATGTAATTATCAATTAGCATACAACAAAACTTTTGCATAATATAACACAACTAGAGTTATACAAACCAAAACAAACTCATTTTTATCTCATATGAAAGATAATATATATATATATATATATATATATATCAACAATTTTTATGAAGACCTCAAGTTCTAATTTCATCATCTACTATGTAGAAAACCTCCAAAATTGCAGCAATCTACATAAAAGTTGTCAGTCTAACCTTTACTAAAAAAATCATAACTTGAGTTTTAGATCTTCTTTTCGAGCGATTCTAATGTCATTGGAAAGTTAACATCACTATAGCTTTCATGTAGATCAAGGAAACTGATTCCAACTTTATCGCACTCATCGCGAAGTTTTTTGACTAACATGAGTGCAAGGTTTGCACTTCAAAAAACTAAAAAAAATTGATTTTCCTAAACCACCAGAATCCATCTTTAACTCGTCTACTAACTTCAAACTCAATTCTAATCTAGTAAAACTCATATAATCATCATTACACAACATGATTCCAACCACAAAATAACATACAAATAAGAAAATTCCATAAACCAATCCATCCATCCAACCACAACCATACTCAACAAAAATGCAATAAAATCCAACCCACTTCATCTAACTCAACCAAGTGTCCAACGAGAATTTTGACAATCAATATAGTGTATTTCATACCCATTTGCAACATGCAAAATACACAGAAAAAAAAAAAAAAGATATGCTTTCCTTACCTCTCTCAAGTTCAAACAACCAACAAACATGAAATACCAAAGACTTTGCACAGACACTCTCTACTCAAAAACCCTCAACCACACAACCAGCAACCAGGCAAGACAACCAACATCAAGAATGCCCAAGGATTATAAGAGATAGAGTCAACTTCACAAGCAAGGGAACATGGGAGAGGAAGGTTCAGTCAAGGCAAGGAAACTTTTTTCCAAAAGCTCTTTCTCTCTTTTGTTCCCTTTTTAAAAAACAAGTTATAAGCTCCTAGGATGAGAACTCACTCCTAACTTCTTAGAACAATTCATTCAGTTCCCCTCCTTTCTCAAACTAGCCCAAAAGATTCAGCTCACATTAAGTAAGCCCAATAGAAAAAGAAAATCACTTAAAAAGAAAATCACTTAAAACAACTCAACAACAATAATAAACTAATTACCACAATAAAATAATTTCAATTGAAACTAAACAACAACTAATTAAATTAAAACACAACAACACAAATAATTTAATTAACAAACCATCAATAAATTAAATTAAATTATTAAACAATTTAAATTAAAGACAAACATTATCGTAGAATATCAAATTCTCCAAAAGAAAGTCAGAATTTAAAATTCTTCTTTCTCTTTTTTCTTATACTCTCCACTAATTCCATACAAAATCAATATAAAAAGTAATAGTAACTTTTTAATTATTAAATATTTAAAATTATTAAATATCATCTAATATTAATTTTTTTAATTATTTGTTTAAAATTAGCTAATATTTTTATATAAAAAAATTAATCTTAAAATTTTAATATATGTAAGGAGAGATCCACTTACTCTAATAATAAGTATATGTAGACTTAATTTATTCAACAACTTATGTTTTCTATTAAATTCCAACAAACTAACCATTAAATTAAAAGTTTTTAATGCATATAACAAGTTTATAATTTTTTTTAAAAGGTTAAAAACAATTGAATCTCGTTTCATTAATTAAAATTGATGGATAATTATGAAAAAATATTTATATCTAATTCAAATTGATAAATAATCATAAAAAATAATTTATAAAAAATAATTTATATGTTGATTTAAATCTATAAAATAATTTATTAAAATGTATAGAATGAAATTAAAATAAGGTAATGGAAAAATTTATAAAATTTCAGCATATTAGAAAATGTAGTACCAAAAAAAAACCTTTGAAAATGATTAAAATGGTGACTTATAAGATATTTTTAAAAATTAATTTTGGATAGTAGAAGTGAACAAAGAAGTTATGTCAATAAAAAAAAATGTAAGTAATAAAAGTTAAAGTAGAAAAGATATAATAATGTTGTTAATATGCACACACAAAAAATGATGAATAAAGAACAGTGGATCACAATTTGAATTATTGACAAAAATGTTTATATTTAGTAGTTAATTTTTCCTATTTTTTTCTTGATAGAAGATACATGTTCTGTAAAAAAAGAAGAAGAAGATGTATAAAAAAAATAAAAAAAAATAAAAAATTATATTTGATTATATGAATGAGTTAAATTTACTTCATGTTAAACATGATGCTTTCATGTCAATTTTTAACATAATATTGTCATGTTTAATATAATTAAAATTCTATTTTTATATATAAATAAATTTTATTTTTTTATGATAAAATCATTTAGTCTGTATGTAATTTAAAAAAAGAAAATAAAAAGAGAAAAAAATTAAATTTACAAAAGTTACGCAATGTAAATTCAAGATTTATATTTTTAAACACACTAACACAAACTTTGTTTTATTCATCTAAATGAATTAACGAATTTCTCGTATTGTTTTAGTTAGGGATGACAAAATGGGTTGTGACCCGCGGGCTAGCCTGTTGGCTTGCCAAAAATTGGCAGGCTGGGCCTATCATTTTAACCTATCAATCTCGCTCCACGAACCCGCTAACCCATCGGGCTAAATAGCGGGCTGGCCTATCATAATTCACCAACCTGCATAGATAATTGGGCTTCAGTTGTGCATAAGTAATTGGTTTTATAAAATTAAAAAAAATCAGGTCCAACATCCAGGGGGAGGTAATGGTTTCTTCTCTGTAGTTAAAAAAATCAATTGTAGTCGTCTTAACTTTTCTTTCTCCTCAAAATTTGTTTATCCTTACCTTTCTCAAAATCTTATTTTTGATTGAGCGATATCCTTAATTATATATATATATATATATATATATATATATAAAGTTAATCACCAATATATTGTTAGTGTAAATATTTTTTATACTGACAATCAATTATATCTTTTAATTGTGTCATGTCACTATAAACACATTTACTTTTAATAGTGACATGGCACAATTAAAATATATAATTGGTTGTCAATGTAAAAAACTTTACACTGGCAGTATACATGTGTTTATATGAGTGTATTTGAAAATTATTGTAGTTAATAATTTATTTGATTAATTTAAAATTTTGTAATTTAATTAAATTAGCGTTTCTTCATCTTTACCTTCCGTACTTCAATATTTTTTATTGCCTTATTTAATATTCTTACTATTTATTTAATATATTATGTATGTTATTTATTTTAAATGTTATAATGAAATATGCGACAGTTAAACAAAAAATTATAAAAGAGTTGCATAAAATAAAAAGATAAAAGTTCAAAATCAACTTGAAATAGAAAGTCAAAGTTGATTAATTGTGTTTGGACTTGTTTTGTAGACTATAAAAAAATTTAGAATATTAGTAATTTGTAAGTTTGTAATTTACTTTTGTTGAATATGTATTATGTACAATATGTATATATTTTTAATTTCATATGGTTATATTTATTTATTTGTAGCAATTTTTTTTATTTGAACATAAAATATATTTTTTTACAATTTTTTTTTTTGAGTATGCGAGCTGGCCCACCGACCCACCAGCCCACTCTTAGGCGGGGCGAGCCATCATTGGTTCATGATATATACACCTCCTTTTTTCTATAAGTACACCTCCTTTAAAAAAAAATAATTAAAATTTTAAAATGTTTTTAATTTTAAATTTTAAATTTTTTAATTTTACATCCACAACATTTAATTTAGTACTTTTTTTTCACATATCTTTTCTCATTTTTTCAATTTTTACACGCACTCCCTTATTTTTCCTTCACCCCACCTATATTTGGTAGCATGTGAAAATTGAAAGAGAAAAAAAAAGTGTGTAAATAAGAAAAGAAAGTAGCAAATTAAAAGTTAAAAGTGTAAAATTTAAATTTTTTTAAAAAATTATAATATTTTATAATTTTTTTTTAAAAGAAGGAGGTGTACTTATAAAAAAAAGGAGGTGTATATATCATGAGCCGCCATCATTTCCAACCCATTTTTCATTGGTGGGCCGGCTAAAATGGGCCGGACTGGCCCGTTTTGCCATCCCTAGTTTTAGTGTGTATTTGTTTTATTGGTAACACTCATTCTTAGGCAACTAAACGTAGAAGTATGTGAGAGAAAGTTTCCAAATGAATATATTTTTATCTCTTCCAAACTGAAAACCAAACATAAAAACTACAAATAAATATAAATTATTTAAGAAATAAAAATATTATCATAAAAAGTGTGGAATTTTATATTTTAAGAAATGAAAAAGTAAAATAAAAAATATTAATTCCTTGAGTTATATATTTAAGAAGTAAAAAGGTAAAATAAGAAATAATAAAAGAAAAAATTAGTAAAAAATATTAATTTCATGTATCCATCTTATGAAACTCACAGGTTTTTTTATTGGGAAGAGAGAAGAAAATAGTAATTTTTATTCAAAAGGCGATTGCAGTTTAAGAGTGGTGTGAGTGTTAGCGTGTACAGTATACTGTATTCTTACAATTTAACAATAGGAAGGAGAGAAGAATGGCGTCTGGCGCGGTTTCCGCAAACGCGCGTTTCCTCCGAAGCACTTCCACAGAATCCCTCTACAGAAAACAAGTCGCGGTGGCCACCCTCCTCCAAAAGCACGGTTTCCCCTCCTTCCTCTCCCGCAACCCCTCCCTCCTCCGCACCCCTCTCCCCCACCTCCAAAACTCCCTCGCCACCCTCCTCTCCCTCCGCCTCCCCCAAAACGCCGTCGTTTCGCTCGTCACCGCTTCCCCCTCCTTCCTCCAGACCTGGGAATCGCGTTTCCCCGACCTCAAATCACGCTTCCCCAACCCCTCCCCCCAAGCCCTCGCCAACCTCCTCCTCGCTTCCGCAAAATTCCACCTCGACCCCTTCCATCTCTCCCGCAAACTCCAAACCCTAACAGAAAAATTCGCCTTCTCCGACGCCACCGTGGCCGCCATCCTCGAACGCTTCCCCGACGCGCTTGTCGCCACGGAGGATCAAATCTCAAGCGTGGTTGATTTTCTATCGGAATTCGAACTCGAAACCGATCGCATTGTTCGGTTATTCCCTAGGGTTTTGTGCCTCGGGGTCGAGGACAGGCTGAGGCCGTTGATTCGCGAAATTAAAGGGTTAGGGTTTCCCGGGAGGGTTATAAGAAAAGAGATCTCGAACGACCCGAGGATTCTGGCGATGGAAATCGGGGAATTTTCGCGGTGTTTGAGATTATTGGAGAGTTTGAAGTGCAGGGAAGCGATTAAGGAGAGGGTTACGGAGGAGGGTTTGGTGAGGGCGTGTTTGGAAGTGAAGCTAAGAGTGGATTGTTTGTGTGGCTATGGATTGACCCGAAGGGATGCTTTGAAGATTTTGTGGAAGGAGCCTCGGGTGATTGGTTATGAGATTGGGGATATTGAGAGGAAGGTTGAGTTTTTGGTGCAGAGGATGAAGTGTGATGTGGAGTGTTTGGCTGAGGTGCCTAAGTACTTGGGTGTGAGTTTTGAGAAGCAGATTGTGGCGAGGTATAGTGTGGTAGAGTATTTGAGGGGGAAGGGTGCGATTGGGTTTGATGTTGGGTTGAAGGATTTGGTTATGCCCTCTAGGATTAGGTTTTATAATCTCTATGTGAAGCCATACCCGGAGTGTGAGAAGATATATGGGAGGTTTTATGGGGGTGGTGAGGCTAAGAGGAAGCACCCGGTTGGACTGTGGAAGCTGTTTAAGCCGGAAAAGTTTCTGGAGAGTCGTGAAGATGTGAAGAATATGAGGTGCTTCATGGAAGCTCTGACCTAGTGGCTAGTGGGTTTGATCATTGTATATAATGTTAGTTTGCTGGAACTTGGATTTTGATAGGTTGAGTTTGAGGGCATGTTTGCTTCTTCATCACGTCAGGTTTGATCGGCATCGATCACAAGTTAATTGGAGTAGCTTATGTGTATTTGACGTGATTTTTCTGGTGAATGGGATTTGTGGAGTGCATGTTTGATTCCTCATCACGTGGAATTCGATCAACATGGATCATAAGCTAATGGGACTAGTTTACATGTGTTTGAATGGCGGATGGGGTTTATAGATGTGGATCCTAACAATCATAGTCAATGATTGTATAGTGGTGGTTGTAACTTGGATGCATCATATGCATGATCGATGAATGTTCACCCTACTTCGTATTAATATGAATGCAAGGGAATTGAACGATTAAGTTTCTTTGATTTGTTTCTGAAATATAGCAGTGTAGGAAATGTTTCATTAAAAACTACACTTGTAATATGGGTCCCACTCTGGAGTTCTACACACTTCTCAGTCATGACTTACAAAAAGTTGTACTTCAAATGTGGAGATCAGGTTCTTCAGAGAAATATCAAATGGAAGTTGATGGAGATGAAAAGAAAATGAAAAGTAGTGAAGGCTCTTTTTGTTGGAGATGGAGGACTTGTTCAAGCTCCTCTTGGGTTGTTTCCTCGACCTTGGCCTGCAAATGTTGACGCATCTGAGGGTACCCAATTTTCTAAAGTGATCGGATATTTCTGGCTATTAGGCCATGTAATGGCTAAAGCTCTTCAAGAGATGGACGCCGGTTGGATTTACCATTGTCAATGGCGTTTTATAAGGGTTATTCTTGGTCAAGTAAGTTATGAAATGTAGATGTTAAGGTGTCTTGTCTGATTTCATGTGTATAGTTTATCTTAAGGTTGATTTTAGTCTGTTTATATTTAGCCTTTGATATACTGCAGGAGCTTGATTTGCATGACATTCTTTTCATTGATGCTGAGCTTGGGAAAACTTTACAAGAGTTTAATGCCCTTGTTAGCCGGAAGCGTTATATAGAATCTATTGGTGGTAGCGATACTGATACAATTGCTAATTTGCATTTTCGTGGGGCCCCAATTGAAGATATCTGCTTGGACTTCACACTTCCTGGTTATCCAGATATCTGCAACGTTAATTAATACATTTACATGGTGTAGGTGCAGCTAATGTTTCATCTAATGGGAATGGGCCTTCAGAATCAGCTGATGATGACTTGCCAAGTGTGATGACTTGTGCAAATTACCTGAAGCTTCCTCCTTATTCTACCAAGGTAGAACATTGCAAAGCATTGTTGGTTATTTTGAAACAGGAAATTATGTACAAGAAGCTACTTTATGCAATCAATGAAGGCCAGGGATCCTTTGATTTATCATGAGTTTCTGGAACAAACCAACCGTGCCTGTATGTTGATATGATGAATCAGGGTTTACTCTCGAGGCTTAATTATTGTTTGGTTGCATATACTTTCTTCCCTGCTTCTCAAATAATGGCCTCGCTTGGAACACGCTCATCAAAGGCGGTGACGTGGTTCTGGTGAGTTTACCATTGTTGTGAAATCTCGCAATTGATTTTTGATATTACTAGATCAATCATATTTTTTTGCTGCAGCATGTGTAGAATTCTTTTTCATTTGTTAATAAACTAATATGAATTCTTCGATTACTGGCAGTTGAATCGGATCGCCACATTTTCAAGGTGTAAAGGGATTTGCGGAGCTCGTTTTAGCTGTAATAACATGTAAATAGAATAGGAATGTTGAGTAATTTCCCTCCCTAAATTTTTTATCATTCTGTTTTCAAGTCAATTTATTGGCTTTTAGTTATTATACATGTATGGAAGATGGTAAAAGGAATAGAAATAATATCAAATACTATGTTTTCGATTATTTATTACATGTTACGAGTTTTGTTGTGGTAAAATTGGATAATTCTATGCTGTTTGGTATGATTGCTGCCCAAATGTTTGTATTCCTGCTGAAAGTCTGCTGAAAGTGTGGTTACATATTTTCGAATTTTTAAGTTTCAACACGGTAATAAAGGGGGTCTTTTTGCAGAAGTTTGTTAGAGACAAACAAGCACGCTAATAACGTCTATTTTTCTATTCAAGTTTCCCAATCTATAGTCAGGACTCAAGCTGTGAATATAAAGTATAAACTAAGAAAGCTTAACCGTTTTTCTAGTTTAACTTTCGTGTTGTTAAAAAATTAGTATATTTATTATTTGATATCTAAAGACTTATTAATGTATTTATTAACGATGTAAACCACTAGTAAACTATCGATTTTATCAAGTAAGGAGTCTAAATCACTTTATTGAAATAAGTTTCGTGAGTTCGTGTAAATTTAATTCCAACAATATACCATTGATTTATCAAAAAAAAAATTAATATTTTTTTGTAATTAACTCATTATAATAAACTTTCTAACAACTTCTATTAACTTAAATCAAATAAGTCATTAGGATTACAAGCAAAACAATCGAGTAATTTAAACAATTTAAACTTCATTATTATATATTATTATATGAAGAGGGTTATAATAATATATTATCATATATTATTATATTTTAAATTGATTCATTTAACATGAAATATTTTATTTTTTTTAGTCTGACCTAAATCAATTTTAGGTGGATCAGGTTGATCTACGGATTACTATTCATTTTAATGGTTCTAATTTTTATATAGATAATAGATTAAACAATCTATTTTTTAAATATAAATCATAAATTGTATAAAAAAAAAAAGCATATTCGATCTAAACTTTTATACGTTCAAAATATTTGCGCAAAATTAATATTAATATTTTGTAAGGTATGTACCAATATAATTAAAATTTAATAAAATAAAATGCAGAACTATTTGCCAATGTCCCATACACTTTCGGACGTAAAACTAGTGTACTTTTGAAGAAAATGGGTGTGTAGTACGAAAATTTTGGTGTGAAATTTTTACAAACGAGACTGCTTGTGTGTTTGTGATCAGTTACATAAGTTAAAAAGAAAAAGAAAAAAAAATGAAATTGAGGAATTATCGTCAAAACAATTTCCAACGGAAATGATTAATAGTATGAATGGAAGCCGCTAGGATCCGTTGATGATACCTTAACTTGTAAAACTGAATTTTTCCAAAACAAAAGACCCTTTTTACGTCGGTTATTTAGGGGTTTTTACGTCAGGGAAACGTCCGACGTAGAAGCGGGAGACGTAAAATTTACGTCGGGGGTCAAAAACCGACGTAAATTTACGTCGGACATACCCAGGTCCGACGTAAAAAATCGTAAAAATTTAAAAAAAAAAGAAAAATAATGCAGCAGAACGGCCCGTTCTGCTTGGAGAACGGCCCGTTCTCCTTGCAGAACGGGGCATTCTGTTTGGAGAACGGCCCATACTGCTTGGAGAACGGGCCGTTCTCCTTGCAGAACGGCCCGTTCTGCTTCCCAGAAATCGCTTTTCTTCTGCGTTTTCCTCCCAGAAATCGCTTTTCTTCCCAGAATCGCTTCTCTTCTCTGTTCTCCTCAGGCTTGGCTTCAGCCACTGGTTGTTCCTACTCAAAATATATAAAGAAACACACATAATAAGTTCAAAATACACATTTAGTCGTATGAACGCAAACTGCTTGTTTTTGTCGTATGAACGGAGACTGAATGATAGAAAAATTATAAGGAAGGAAGGACCGAAGGAGTAGGAGGCGGAGGGATTTACACAACGAAGAGGAAGAGGGTTTACAGAGAAAAAAATGAAAAGTGAATGCGCGCGGTGTGCCTCGCGCTCTCTTATTCAAATTTGCGTCTTTTTTACGTCGGACCTGGTAGGGTGCGACGTAAATTTACGTCGCACCTGGGAAGGTGCGACGTAAATTTACGTCGCACCTGGGAAGGTGCGACGTAGATTGGACTTTTTACGTCGCACCTGGGAAGGTGCGACGTAGATTGGACTTTTTACGTCGGACCTTACCAGGTGCGACGTAAAAAAGTTCGCAAAAATTACAAAAATGCCACCGCATTTTTTTTACGTCGGATTTTCGTATTTCCGACGTAAAAGGGGTGACGTAATATACTTATTTTCTACTAGTGATGATGGGTTGCTTAGGATTTTTTTGGAATCTCACGAGTCTCAAAGTACTCAAAAATAGCAAAAGTTACTTCATTTCATAGTAGCAAGGAAATTGCATAATAAATGATAGCACTGGAAAATAATGATATTAAAAAAATATAGGTTAAAATATTTTAATCCTATTTTTAATTACTATAATTTAAAATAGATATTTTTAATTTCTATAATTATTTTTTCAATTCTTAATTTATGATCAATTTTCTAGTCCTTATATTTATAATTTTTTAATTCTTATATTCATTATCATCGATTTATTTTTTCTCAATGATGTCTATTTTTTACATGATATTAGTTTTCAATTTGTGAAAGTTCAAAAAAAAAATATATCTCAACAATAATTATTATAGATGAAAGTACAAAAAAGACATAAAATATTAAAAAATCTAATTTAGAATAATTTCTACAAAATAAATTTGACATCAAATATACAAAATTTAATACATTTATATTATAATGCAGTACGAAAGAGATGATATTATATAAAAATAATAATAATAACAACAATTAAAAAAAAATTAAACATCTACAATATTGAAACTAAAAATATTTATCTTAAACTATAAAGATTAAAAAAAATTAAAAATATAAATATAAGAACTAAAAATATTTATTTCAAATTATAAAAACTAAAGATAATTTTTTTAAAAAAATATAAATATAAGAACTAAAAATGTTTATGTCAAACTATGAGAAGTAAAAATTAAAAAAGTAAAAATATAAGAACTAAAAGTTTTTAATTAAAAATATAAAATAAAAATAAAAACAGGGGGCACCGATCAACAGACCAAATTGAAGGGCTGGTTGAGGTGGGGGAATGTTGCATCACCTTCTGATTTAGTTCTGATTATGGTTCAAGCTGAAAGCTGGATAAGCATCATATAGGTCGTCTTTAACCGTACCAAATAAATGTAAATGCATATAATCCAAGCCAAATCATATCTATGCTTTTGCTATTTCAAACATTTTTATCACAAACATGTACATGATTGACAAATAAAACCAATATATCTCACGAGAAGAATACAAGAAATACCCTTCTCACGATTTCCTTACACTCGATGGAAGACAATTTTAAAAGAAGGGAAGGGGGGAGGGAAAAAGGAAACAGAAGTACACATCGATGGAAAATTAAATCATCATTCATGCTTCCGAGGTTCTCCACTGCAACTCTATCTGGAGGCGACCATTCTTGGAGTCAATAAGATGATACTTCTCGTTAATTCTTTTGTTGGCGACAACATCCCCAAGATTGATGTCGATATAACCCAATGATTCCTAATGCAGCATGGAGCAGCAGATAATAAAACTCGATCATATCAAGTAACATCAAAGGAAAAGAAAAGAAAAAAAAAAACGTTGGGCTTAATTTCAGGACAAAGCAGTGAAAGCACTGATGTCTGAAAAGAACATATTTGTGCAAGCCAGGAATCATCAAGTGTTTAAATAATATTGCAATGCGCGAGCATATAAATTTGTATTTTAGAATCATCCCTCAACATACATTGTAGCTAAATTATATAAAAATTAAAACTCTTTAACTTCGTGATATGTGATTTACTTTCTTTGCTTCCAAATAAAACAATCCACATCCTAAATATATAAGCAAATCCCACCTATTAAGCTTTAGGGATGGCAAAATAGACCCAGACCTTGCGGGCATCCACAAAAATATCCTCATGCGAGACGGATAAATATTTGTTAATATGAAGATGGATACGAGACGGGTATATATCAACAAAATTTAGTGGGTGTGGATGACGGTTCGAATAAAATGGTACCCAACTCGTGCCACCCTACAGTTATATATATATATATATATATATATATATATATATAATATTATTATTATTATTATTTTAGATCCAATATACAAGTTGAAGTTGTTGAAGTACTTTTTTCTTAAGTGTTATGGTAGCTCATCTTCAATTGAAATTAATATCAAAAAATCATTATACTCATTGTTTAAAGAGTATCAAACTAGAGCTAAGGGAATAATAGAAAGTTCAACTTCACGAGTAAATGTCAATGAGTCAAACTTGGATAGTTTAAATATTAACAATTTTCGTAGTGATTATGACTCATTTATGAATGATACAATTGAAACCCAAACAAAGTTTGAAATAAAACACTACTTAGAAGAAAAAGTTTTGTCTAGGAGTACTACTTTTGACATTCTTAGATGGTAGAAAACAAGTGGGATCAAGTATCCAATTTTGCAAAAAATTACTGAAGATGTTTTTGGTAATCTCAATTTCAATCGTAACTTCAAAATTTGCATTCAGCACAAGAGGTAGATTTTTGAGTCCTCGTTGTTCTAGGATTAATGAATTTACCCTGTAGACACTTAAGTGTGTAAAAAGTTGGTTGAAATACAAGCAACAAGATAATAAATAGTTAAAATTTGTTTATTTAATAAAAGTTGTTTTTATTTTTTATGTAGTTTTTATTGATATTAATGGGACCAAATCAACATATAAACTTAAAAGACAAATGTTTGCAAAAATATGGAGATGATTTTGATGATGAGGTCAAATATCTACATATTTGTTTTTTAAAATTTATAATATATAATTTAATCTATAATTTTAATCTAACTAATTTCTGTATAATTTTTTTTTATGAGTCTTGAAGAATATTATTAACACATGACCATGATGTTGAAAGTTTAATAATAATTTTTATTATATTGATTTTTTAAAAGTTTATTTACAAGAACTGAATGCTGTGTAATATTTATTTATAAAATTTGTTATATTATATTTTTGTAATGCTAAAAACCTGACAAATTAATATTATGTTTGTTTGTGAAATGTTATCTCTTCATTGATTTATTTACTTTATACATAAGTAAAATGCGAGTCACAGTTACGGGTATGGGTACACAGGTATCCAGCGGGTACGAGGATGGGGATTAAAATTACTATCAACATGGATATGAGGCTGTGTACGAGTACTGTTTTTAAACACGGGTATGGGAACAGATACTATATGACCCTATCCAGACCCTACCTATTGTCATCTCTATTGAGCTTCTATTAAAATCCTGTGAGCAAGTTGCGCATGAAAATACCTAAAGCTAAAGGCACTTGTGTATAATTCAGCCTACATTTTTATATTAGGAGTTGGAGTCACTAAATGTTTGGGAAACTCTCATTTTTAAAGCCAAGTGTTGTCATCAAGAAAACAAAGAAAAAAGCTAAAGTGCTTTAACTCTTTTCAACAATTTGAGGCTTTCCTTGTCTAAGGCTAACTTTTGCACAAGACTAGGGGTTAGTTTCTACAATGTAAAATCATATTAATAACAACGCATTACATAATTAAAAAACAGTGGAGTTGCTATGGACTATCTACCTTTTGGTGGAGCAGGTTTCGTGACGAAGTGCTGACAACCTCCACATGTAATCTATCATTGGTGGGAGGCTCCTCCACCGTAAAATGGAATTCGTCTTCCCATCTTGGATCTCTGTTCTTTTTAATGCGCTGTAATTGTAACCACGGTATCATCAGCATTCCATACAAAACCAATTTCAATCTGAATGTAATGTACATGTATGACCCCAATCTTTTGTCTCTGGCATCAGCATCTACATCCCACTATCTGGCATCAGCATCTACATCCCACTATCTTCTTTTTTTCTAGTTTGTGGTATATTAATATAAAAAAATTTGATGGATTTGTTACTTCAGTCAAGACATGAAAATTTCACGAGATCAAACCAACCATGTCATTATACAACAGTTGTTTTGGCAACATAGTAAACTAACAAACCAATACTATATGCAGGGTAGAATGGTTAAACTACAATTTGTTTGATTAAAAAATCCATTGGAGATTTCCCAAACTTCTTATGTAGCATCAATTAGTTGAGTGCAAAGAATTCCATAAACTAATTGAAGCATATTAAACCCCAGCTTGTAAAGAGGCTTTTCCCTATCTCCCAGAGGAAGGGCTAGGGAGCATGCTATTTTATTTATTCCAGATAATCCAGAAGAAAGAAAAAGTAATATGCAAGTATTTCCTGGGATTCTGTACCTTAGTTTTTTTCTCCTCCCCTCTGAAAATAAGGCGTACATGTGGATTAGTGTGATACTTTCCTTCAACATCTTGAGCTTCATGGACTATAACTACAAGCAAACCTCCACCAGCTGGAGTACCTTCTGGAGCTTTTGGAACTGTCTGTGTCTCTTCAAACCCCTTGCCCAAATCCTCCTCCTTGAAGGGTTTATATGTCAATTCTACAACAATCTGCCCTCGTGACTTCTCATTTTGGACATCATTGGGATCCATATTTTTTAGGAGATCAAGAGTGAAACGTTTAGGCTCTTCGGGGGAAACTTCTTTTAAAGGAATCACATTCATACCCATCTTGTCATGCTTCCCAACCTAAGCAAAGATACAAAAACAACATTTAGTTGAGATATCATAAGAAAATAGAAAAAACACTCACAGTTCAACAAGTTTACCTGCTCCCAGTCATAAACATTAATCTCTAAAACCTGGGATTCTGGATCTTTAACAACCATATTGAATTCTTCATTCCATTCAGGATTTAAGTTCTTGTGCTTCACAGTAGTCTTTTTCGATGGCAATTTATCCTCAGAAAGCTTTAGCTTCACATAAGGATCGGATGCACCAAGAAGATCTTTCTTCTTTAACTTCATTGCATGCAGAACCTTTACATGTAAAATTCCAACGGGCCTCTTCAAGGCTCTAAGATTCCCAATTATATTCACAAGAAAGAAAGAAAAAAAAAAGTTAATATACCATTATATTTTGATAAATATTTATAGAAATGAAGAAACATACTTTGACATATCTAATATTGGAACCTCCAAGGTTTTGGGCCAAAGATACATGTTTGCAACTTGATCTTTGATAAGCTCCTGAAAACAATACTCTTTAAATTAGTTTAAAAGCGGGGAATATTTTAATAAACCAAAACTAGCTTAGAAGTTAGAACAATAACAAAAACATGGATATGTTTAAAAGGCATAGACCACAAGTGCACACCATGAACTAAAGAATACATGACATATGTTCTATACATTGTTTTTTATTTTTTAGATCCAGGAGTGGTCTCAGGGGTGTTCCCACTGACGGAAGTCATGAGACTAATCTCGCAAAGAAGTAGAGTCCCAATTAAGGGGCAACTCCTCTACCCATAAGTATTGCTTAATTCATATAGTGAAGGATCAAACCCCTATCACGTGCTTAAAAGGCCCAAGTTACTAGTCACTTTTGGGTGTGCTATGCTTAATATTACCACCACTTTTCTGTGTACACTCTAATCCATAATAATAAAACTTTATACAATAAAGTAGCAAAATCGAGAGAATGGAAGGCATTTAAGAATCAAGATGGCTGATGACCATAAAAAACTTCATTGAATGTATGTGTCCAATCAAATGATATTTCTACAACTAGCAAATGTATGAGTATGGGATGAGATTTCAATTATACCAGAGAAGAAAATGTCCAAACTAAAGGCTAGCTTTCAATCATAAAAGGTAACAGCACCCAACTACCCCATTGGACCACTTTAACCAAGAAGACCTAATTATACCCTCAATGAACTGTAAAATAGCACCTAACAAGCCCACAAACCATTCAACTTCAGACCTCTACTGTTAGGAACCAAGAATTGGGAAAGAGAGAGAAAAGAAAGATTTTATTGAATAGGATCAAAAGATCACAAAATAGGAGAGAATGTTTTCTCCGGGGTTTCCCCATCACAAAGAATTTCTCCTTTCACAAAGAGCCGAAGCTATATCTACAAATGAAAATATATGAATGTCCCCCCTCTACCAAGTAACCTCCTATTTATAGATGTGATGGGTCTAGCCCATGATATCCTTCTAACTAATAACTACTCTATTTCCCTTTATTCTATATCCTAACATCTACACTACATATCGTATTACTTTGTGTTCACATCAAACATTATATCACAAGCCAGTTCAATTACTAACTCAAGATCTTATTTCCTTTAGCAACCAAATTTCTATCTGTCATGAGCAAACACAACTCCAGCTTGATGCAAGAAATTGTTCTGTGATAATTTTTCCATCATTCTGCAAGCAAGATGTTTTCTGCCAAACAAATAAACGAGCTGGGAATATCACTCATTTCAAAATAAAACCTACTTGTGCAAACAATTGTTCATTTCTACCATGGTGAGGTTGTCTACTATGCGGGCAGTGACCCTCTCTAGCTTAAAGAGTGGAAAACAAATGTAAGCAACTATAGACCTCAAAAATTAACCATTTGATAGGAGAAAGGGGGAAAGCAAATAAACAGACAAAAAAGATACCAACTTATACCTGAACAATCCTATAGATGCCCGGAATAGACATAAGATCAGCCCCTATGAGCTTTAGTCCAAAGTCAACATGTGGCTGCAAGATAATGTACACCAAAAATGGAGGGAAGATAAGTACCATATATAAAATAATCACAAGTGGATATCAATCTTGGCCGGGTGGAAAACAATACTAGAGTTTCCTCGAACATTCAAAATAAAATCAAATAAAAATTTAATTATGTATAAGTGAGAAGAAAAATGTTAGAATTTCAGCATCATCAAGATTATCATAAAATGGCAATAATAACTCCATATATCATCACCATAAGCATCAACTAAAATATAACTGCAATCAGAAATCATTTAAGTGTGGAAGAAACCCACCCAAAAAATAAAAACAACTGAGTCACAATTATATTTGAAGTTGCTAAACTAATAATAAGGGAGGAAAACAAGTTATTTGAACATGATCCCCTTGTCGACAACAGCTGAAAGCTTGATAATTGATCATCACTAAAATAGTCCTAAAATCTCTCAAAATATTTTGGAAGTCACCTTGACCCTCTCATTTAGGTTTCGTCAGATAAGGGATCCGTGAATGTGATTTCCAGTAGTTATCCTTAATACATGTCTAGTATTCCTAAAAAGTAAAAACAATGACTGATCATTCTTAAAACTGTCAAGACAATATGAAGACAAAATAGCAATTCAAATGAGCGTGCAACAAAAGAAGACAGAGAGATATATCCTGAATTTAAGCATTTTCAATATGAAGACCGTGCATTGTATCTGCACATAAGTAGGTCAAATTGAAAGACCTATCCCAGTCCCTCCTTCCCAATAAGAATAGAATCCAATCATCCAGCCAGGGGTTTCAGTTTTTATCAAGGTTACTTAATTCCAACTAGAAACCACTCCTCCGGTGACAGAATATGCTCTCAAATATAGCTACAAATACAATTGACAACAACAATGAAAACACCAACAAATACTCTACTTATAGTGTCCTTCATTACAGGTTCAAGTGTGTATGCAAAGTAGGTGGGGGGAAGTAATACACCCAACAATCACAAACCTTTTCCATGAGAGAGACATATATGTTGGCAAAGCAAGGAAAGCTAGGAACCAAAGGCTTCAAAGTAATACGAGGCAAAAGGAAAACTTGCAAATCCACAACCTGAAAAGACATGGGAGCTCTCAGAGCGAAGGGAAAAATATTTATCAATCCCCTCTCTACCCACAAGTGCACAAACACAATAAAGTTACCTGCACAGTTGCTTTCAACCCAAAGGCCTTAACAGAAATAGTGACATTAGGATTTCCAGCCCATTTTACAGAAGGCTCCATAATTAACTCCTTCTCATCAGTCACATAAACCTTCATTCCTATGAATGTGCATTTAACAAAAGAAGTATTAGGAATATTCATATGACATAACAAGCAAGTTAGCAAGACATAAATCAATTATAACATAGAATAGCAAAGAAATCGAATAACCCTTTGTTATAGAGATGTAGACATAAGTAATCTTTAAGAATTCAACAATTAACTCACACATAAGAAGTGTAAAACCCAAAAGAGGATCTTATGGTGAAATGCATCACATAAATTCATAATACATCAAGTTTCCTTCAATTTCTAAACTTTTTCATTTAAGTTCAAGGAAAGTACAAACTCAATTTCAAACCTTGAATTTAAGGGTCTATTTGGTTCGAAGGAGGGGAAGGGAGGGGAGAGATTTTAATGTAGGAGAGGGAAAAGAAGGGGTTAGAAGTTGTGTTTGGTTCATAGGAAAGGAGGTAGTTTTTTACCTGTTTGGTTCACAACGAGAAGGGAGAGATTTTAAAAACTAATTTATCTTTATATTCTTGTAGTTTTAAATCAAAAAACATAAGTAAGGATGTTTAAACATTATACTGAAGATGTTTTAAATCCCCTCTCCTTCCCTCCAAATCCACGCGACATTGGAGAGAAATTAAAATTAGATGAAGATGAGTTTTCTCCTTCTCGCACAGCATAATTTGTTCTTTGTTTCAGTACCTATTCATCACAGTGACACTTCCATTGCATTATCTTTGAAGTTCAAACAAAGTGATAAAGTTTTCAGCAATGGAGGTTCTGGCCACAAAATAGAGAAGCCAATACTTGTTCTACCACCTCTCAATAGTGCTACATATCGGCAATGGTTTTCATCATGCTCCATGTATTACAAGTTTGAAGTCATTCCAAACTTATTTGACACTATTGTTCAGGTAAATTGTAGTTCCGTGATCACTGCCAATTTTTTTTGACTTTTCATGGTTATTCACTGGCAAGTCAAGAAAGGGAGTCAACTAGCAAGTCAAGAAAGGGAGTCAACCCTCTTGCGGAGACTCTGGAATGACAGCTTGTGATTGTTGTGTTCACCATTGAAAGCTTCTTTTGGTCCTTCCTTCAGTCTTTCCGCTGGCTACATTTTTGACCCCGGCGGAACACTCACGAATCTGGTGTGGGGCCATTGGAACATAGAAAGGATTTCACCGTTTCAATGTGGTTGACAATAATCAGGTGTTGCAAGCATATCACAAGGCTTCTTGTACCTTCTACGACGGGCCCTCATATTCGGTTTATCCTATTGGATTGTGTTCAAACCAATAATGGATGTTTTAGGCCTCAACAATATTTAGTTTAGTATTTCTAAAAAAAAATAGTTAGGTATGATCGCATGTCAACATTGGATTTCTATATTTTTTCTTTAAGTTTGGGCTTTGTTTAACGGTGTATGTTTGTTTGTTTGTTTCAAGCTAGCTAAGCTTACCATTGCTAGCTTGAGTGGGGGTATTAGAGTATACAATTAGTTAGCTTGTTATGAAGTTTGTTACATCCAACAAACTCTATAAATAAGTATAATTGTAATTCATTTGTTTCATCTTTTGATTAATATGAAATATTCAGAGAATTATGACCTCTATCCTTCCCAACCTCTGATTTCCAACACTCCAACCAAACAACACTATGTAATAGAGGAGTATTGATTTATGACCAACAAAACGCATGATACTAGAGTTGCTCAGAGGCAAACAAGCCATATGAGAAGATTTCCTGTGCAAATTACTCTTTCTCTAACATCGTCCGATTAACTTTTTCTAATAGTCTGCTTCCTATCCCAAAAAGGCATTACTATGGTACCAACAGCAATGTCTAAAAATAGTGATATTTTATAAACAATAGAAAGAAATGCTAGTGACACACTCTCTAGTATTGAGAGAAATATATTAGAAATCACAATTTTATGTGAGTTTCACTTCTTATTTGATGACTCACCGGTGATTTTGTAGTTTCCAGTGAAATTTAACAAATATTAGAAAGTGTGTTAAAAGAAATGCATTAGAGTGTTGTTAACACTCATCAACAATAGAATAGAAAACCCATGAAAATGGCTAAAACTGTTTATACAATATCGGCATCACACCAAGTAACCGTGAAGACAACTACAAGGCTTCTATCCAGGAATGCATCATGTCCGGATGAACTACTAACCTTGAAAAGTTGGCGGCAGAGACCCCAGTGTGAGTGTTTCAAACTCGACCGAATCAATTTTATATTTAGGAATCTGCTCAGCGATAATGGGTTTTGCAATGTTCCTCGCAGTCTTGCAAATTGCCTAAATAAATTAAAAACATCTCTATGGTCAAAAAAGGAAAATCAAAAAGGCTAAGTGTTAATCGAATATAGTTAAAGCATATCAAAACCACAAACCTTATCAAGATACGGCCACATATATTCTAAAAACCTGTTCAGCCAGTCAAGCTTGAGAAAAAGTCCAAACAGGTTAGTTCAGTAGTGAAATCCCAAAGCCAAAAATGAAAACGAGCATAGTAATTGGATAGCTAGATACCCGATCAAAGTCCGGATTCTTTATCCAGAGTGGTATCTCCGGAAACATTTGTTGCAAAGTCTCTTGGTCGTGCTCCACCAGTGGCTTGATTTCAGGATCCTGTCCAGCCACAATAAACAGTTAAAGTCAAAGACGAAGACAATGCTCCACGCGACACGCATACATGCATACATACCTCAACATTGGTGGGTTGAAAGTAGATAAAGAGAAAATAGCCGGCCACAAGACCAATCGAAATCCCAACCCCAAATCCGAAAAACCCCAAAATGGTACTGAAGAAACCCATCTCAACTCGATCTCTCAGCTACACCCAATCCAGATCGCGATTTGTCTTCACTACTTCATTCCTACTCAGTTAGTGTAAACAAATGTTGCTAGAGATCGATTGTTTTTAAAAATTTAGATGAAAAAAAAAGGGAGAAAAAATCGTTAGAGTTTTTGTCCTTATACTCAAAGTGGGACACGTTATTGAAACGGTGGAAGACCAAGGGAGAAGCAATTGAACGGACGCAGAAAGCAAGGAATCCATTATTAAATTTAAAATATAATCGTACACGTGGCGTGCATGGAAAGTTGTCGGTATGGGTTTCAGCCAGATCACCTAATGGTGACCGTCATCGCTCATACACGACACTTGGCTAGTTTCCATATGAAATGAGACAAAATATTATCTTTTTATCACACTTTTTGGGATCAAATAATATTAATACTTTTATCATATTTAAACATGTTTTTTTTTTTTTATAAAAATAGGTTTAAAACGTGGAAAGATCAAAAGTTGGAAAATAAAGTATCTGTGAACGTGTGATAAAATAAATTAACCTTTTTTATTTTAAGTGAAAAAAAAAATTACAGCATTGACCTTTCTCCATTTTTTCTTGCGTTTCAAAATGCAAAAGGTTGTAGCGGTATGATAAACTACTTTGACGTGGCCGTTGGTAGCTAGGTATTGCAACTACGATTCAGCACCTTGACCAGTTGACACTATACATTGTGCTTCGTATCATCAAGCACAGAAGAAACAGAACAACTTATAACATCACTAAAACTTTAATACCAAATTCGAATATGAAATTCAACTTTACAAAACTTAACTTATAAAATGAAATTCATGTTTTATTTATATATTAATTTAATCATATTATTGGTCGATTTAAAAGTTTTAACATATTTTTTATTTATATATATTAATTTAATTATACTATTGGTTGATTTAAAATATTTAACATATTTTTTTTCAAATCAATACAAAAATGAATGTACTTAAAGTTCATTTGTAATCAAATTAAAAATTATTGTTAATAGATTAAATAGTTTTTTATATACTAAAATTGTAAAAAAAAAAAATCAAAGATTTAATCGACTAAATTTTATGCATCGTTTTCAAAAGTTTAACTTTCAATTGATTATGTTAGTTTTTATAAACGATTGAAACTTTTTATATGGTTTTTTTAATTGATTATATTTAGATTTATTCATTTACTTTAAATTTTTTGTTTTACATACTTTTAATCGGTTATTTATTTTACTTCAAAAAAAATTATAATAGTTATTTATTTACTTATATAAGTTTTATTAACTGATTAAAATAAAATAAAAAAATAGTTGAACACAAATTATTTTTAAAGATTCCTTTTTTTTATAGTTATTTTCAGTATAATTTTATTTTTCCCCTCTTTTTTAATACTTTATTTCTCTTTCTCCTTTTTTATATATTTTATATTTTTACTTTTTTTTGCATTTTATCAAACATATATCATATTATTTCTCTTCTATTCTTTTCTATTTTTCTTAAATTAAATAACTAAAATTTTATTCTACTTTTTACTTATTTTTATTAAATTATTTTTTATTTTATATTTTTATTGACTTCATTTTATTTTTTATCTTATCTTTTTCTTCTTTACCAAACATATACACTACACATAGTGTGTAGTTGAAGAAAAGAGTAAAACTTGTTACGGTATTAGATAACCAGTTATTAATTCATGGTCCTATCTATGCCTTCATATTAAATATTTATGGACGTGATATAACCTAAGATAATAGTTGTAAAACCCAATTCAATCGGTTAGATTATCAACATGGCTAGAAAACTGAAAGAACAAAATAAATATAGATAATTTCTTGATAAGTCGGATAAAAATAATTAATTATATATCTATTTTACTATAATTTTATAAAATTTATTTTTTTAGTCTTTACAATTAAAACATTCTATTTTACTTCATAAACGGACTATTTCTTTTATCGTCTTCTTTTCTGTAATGTTTTTTATTGGTAGTGTAATTTTTTTGTCGTCTATTTCTATATTCTATAGGAAAAAATTATAAATTATAAGAATAAAAGAAATACAAATGATATATATAGTTATTAAAATAAAATGCTTTTAATAGTATAAAAAGGTAAAATTATCAAATTATAAGATAAAAAATAATAATTGAACAAAAAAATAAAGTCAAAAACTAATTTTCAGGGGGAAAATTAGATAAATAAAAACTCATCTATAAGATTTACATGCAAAATTTTATTATGAAATTTGTGTCTTGTTGGACATTTTAAATATTATTGGTATTTTAAATTTTATACTGGTTTATTATTTAATATATAGTATATAACATTAAAATATATATTAAATTGATAAAACCATCAAATATCATATATCTTTATCATAGCTATTGATGACACATTGTAATCGGGAGGGAAGCAACATCTTATGGGTTTTTAAGAGATTTTCCGCTTTCTTGAATGATCGGGTTAGTGGTAAAATAAAACAAATTTGGTTTATCAATGATTGTCAAAACTCAAAAATAGGATGAGTCCATCCATCAATCAAAAAACGGGATGGATATTTTGGTCTGCCTCGTCTAAAGACAAGTTGATAGATTAGTCCACATAAAAAATAAAAAATAAAAATATTTTTCTTAATACAAGAAGATTCTCATTATATAATAAATAAATAAATAAAAGGCCGTCAGGACGGGTTGATAGATTACAATAAGCTAAAACACTAATTTGGTCCCTTATAATAATTGTTTGTTTCAATTTAGTCTCACTTTTATTTTTGGTTTTAATTTGGTCTCAAACTAATTAATTGGTTTCAATTTGGTCCCTTAAAAATTAATTGGTTTTAATTTGGGACTTCCGTCCAAATTATTTAAACGGAGTTAACTTTTGCCTACGTGGATGCCATGTAGATGCATACATGGATACCACGTGATGCCGATGACAATTTTTTTTGAAAATACCTGGTGGTGTATGTTTCTCGACAGTGCCTTCATTTCTTGGAAATGTAAGAAGCAGGATCATTATGTTTCTAAATCTTCTACTGAGGCTGAATATCGTTCAATGTCTTCTACTAACTACGTCGTTCTCTATATGGGCTTAAACGGGCTCCTCGGACTTGGTTTGAGAAGTTTCGTATTACGCTTCTTAATCCCTCCTTCACACAAAGTCAATATGATTATTCTCTTTTCTTCCACAAGTCTCCCACGGGTATAGTTCTCATCTTGGTTTATGTGGATGATCTAATTATTACGAGAACTGATAATGGGTTGATTACTAAGCTTCAAGCAGTGTTACATGCAACATTCCGCATGAAAGATCTTGGCCAACTCACATATTTTTTGGGATTGGAAGTACATCATTGATCCAATGGCATATATTTAAACCAACATAAGTACATCCAAGATTTGATCACTTTGGTTGGTTTAGAAGGAACTACTTCAGTTGATACTCCTATGGAAGCAAATGTCAAATACAGGAAAGATGAAGGGGATCTTTTTGCTGATCCAACTATCTATTGGCGTTTGGTAAGAAGTCTTATCTACCTAACGACAACTCGACCTGACATTTCATATGCTATTCACCAAGTTAGCTGGTTTATGTCTTCTTGTCGACATCTTCATTTTGCTGCTATTTGTCACATTATCCGCTATATTATAGGGTCCCCTACACGTGGGTTATTCTTTCCTAGAGGCTCACCCTTACAACTTTTGGCATATAGTGATGCTGATTGGGCAGGGTGTCCAGATACTCGTCAGTCTACTACAGGTTGGTGTATGTTTCTCGACAGTGCCTTCATTTCTTGGAAATGTAAGAAGCAGGATCATTATGTTTCTAAATCTTCTACTGAGGCTGAATATCGTTCAATGTCTTCTACTTGTTCTGAAATTGTGTGGCTACGTAGTCTTTTAGAGGAGCTTGGATTTCACAACCTGACTCTACCCCTCTTCATGCTGATAATACAAGTGCTATTCAAATTGCTGCAAATCCCGTGTTCCACCAACGTACCAAACATATCGAGGTTGATTGCCACTATATCAGGGAAGCCTTGACCAGTAAAGTCATCTTTCTTCCTTACATCTCCACAAATCTTCAAGTGGCTAATATCTTTACTAAAACTATGACTAGACAGCGCCATCAGTTTCTCGTTGGCAAATTATTGCTGGTTGACTTACCAGCATCAATTTGAGGGGATGTTAATATATATTTAATGTAATTTATTACTATTTTAATAGGAAATCTCCTATAATCTTTCCCTTTCTTGTATAACTCCCGTAATCTCTCACCTTCTTGTAAAAGCATATATCTTGCTGTCTATTTAAGAAAGAGAGGTCGCAGAAGGCAAATGAATTATTAACAATTAATATAAGGGACCAAATTAGTATTTTAGCCATTACAATATTTTTCTTGACCTCCTATTTTTCGGTTGAGCAATGGATTAACCCGCAGCTTGTAAGTTGTTTTTATCATTATTAACAATATTTTGTAAAATTTATTATAATATATTTTGTCATTATTAATTAATATAATAAAATATTATTATTTTAATAAAAATGATGATGGTGATGATGAAAATTATAATGATTAGTGGTACTGTTGTTGACATGTAACAATAATAATAATAATAAAGTGATGGTGGATAGTGGTGGGTTCCAATGATAGTGGTGGTAGGTAACGATTAGGGAGTATTCGTTTTGATTTCATCACTTTTTGGTTAGTTTCATAATTATTATTTACTTTATTTTAGTTCAACCATTAGACTAAATATTAAAAAAATAATATTTATTTTCACTAATATATTATTTACATGTTGGCATTCAAGTTGAGAAGAGTTTACATGAAGATTACTTGAATAACGATAGTAACTTAGATAATTTAGTCATGCTCAACAAACTATCTTAATTCTTAATTGTTGAAATACACTTATTTCAAATGTTTAACTATCTTAGATTATGTTTAACTGATTCAATTTTATAATTTGAATATTACTTTTTTATTTATGTTTGAGTATTATTTACATTGGTTTAATAATGAGTTTTTATTTAAATTTTGAAATAAAATAATTTTTATGTTAAAAAAACTAATATTTAAGCCAGTACATTTCACAAACTAAATATTTATTATATATAATTAAAAAAATATTCATAAATGAATAATATATTTAGATATATAAATTATATTTAAAATTAATATAAATAAGTATTTTAGTGTATGTA